CGATGTATGAATCTGTGTAGCTTCGTGTTCGTGCACCCTGGTGATGTAGTAAACTGGAACTCTCATCACTGGCCACCCAGTTAGTCCTATCGTCCAAATACCCACCATGACTAGGACCTCCTGGCCGTTCCCACACATGAAGTACCCCCTCTACATTAGACGAGTACCCACTGAACTCATGGATGAATCAACCGGCTAAGCTTACCACATTCATACTTTACAAATCTCAATAATCAAGTTCTGAGTCGTTCCTCCTCGGAATGCTCTTTCAAAAGTCACAACTTTCCATTCATCTTTTCATCATTTACTATTCATCATTTACTGTTCATCATTCACTATTCATCCTTTACTGTTCATCATGTACTATTCATTAATATCATGTACCAAACGTTCCAACCCAAGGAGACCGAGAACGAATGCAGTGAGCGAGACCAAGAGACGTTTGTTCGAATCAAAGAACGAACGACAGAGTTTATAGTTAAGTTCGAAAATGCCAAGTATGGTACTGTTTATTGGACGAACACTATTTTGCGGGAAAAGAGTACGAGCGCTCAAAATAATATCGAGCGTCATTTAGGACGAACGCTCAGCATAAGGCCGAGCCTCACTTACAGCGAACGCTCGATATAAGACCGACGTCATTTGAACTACTTTCACAGTGTAGACCGAAGGCTTCCCAGTAGAAACGTCAGTGTAAAACCTAACGTTCGTCACTCCGATTTATAGATCTTGAAAAATAACTAAGGCTTTTGGAAGAGTATTACAACGAAAATATGCACTGTTACATATAATTACACAAGTACAAAAGAGAGAAATTTATCAAAAGTACTAGATTCAACAGTGCCAGACAGAACGCTCAAACAGAGCATTTTAGGATGAGGACATTCGTCCTCAACCAGGGATTTTATCATGTTGGCCAAGAAAACCGAACGGTCTAGACCGTTCCTCAGTAACGAACGTAAAATATCATAGGAATTAAAAAGGGAAGATCCAAACAATGCTTGGCCGAACGCTCAAGCATAACATTTTACCACGAGGACGCTCGTCCTCAACAAGAGTTTCATTCAAATGAAGGAATTAACATTCCTAACACATTGCTAAGGGAAACCGAACGGTCAATGACCGTCCAGAACGAACGTACAAATTTTTAGGAAAGATTCATTTCTCATCAAAATCACATAATTACGTTCGTTCATATCAGCTCAAATATTAGATTTCATATATCTCATATCATCCAATATCTCATGCATCATACGTAACTTAATCATATATCATTTTCATTCCATAAAAAAAGGAAAAAAAAAAACGTTCACAGATCCAGCATATCACCTCATATAATCAAAATAACGAACGGTCATGCAAATCAACCATAACAACATCATACAGTGAAATGACGAACGATCATACCATCATTTATATCATTCATCATGCATTACTCCCATACAGTAAAATAACGAATGTTCACACATAACATGCATCAAAAATAGTTAAATTAAGTAAGCTTCCCTTACCTGGAATTGAACGAACGTTCACAGACGCACACAGACGCTTCTCCACTCAAATTCCACTAGTCAACGCTCGTTAATCCACTATACGAGCGAACCCCAACACTAAATTCATAATTATCCCACTCTAAGAAAATAACGAACGCACAACTCAGAACTGAGTTTGCATGCAAGGGAAACGAACGTCAGAAATGAAGGGAAAGGACTTACCGGTCCTGATTCACGAACCGAACGTTTCTCCTAGAATTCCTTGACGCCAAGCGTCCTTCAACAGTGCCGGAAAGTAGAACGGAGGGGATGCTACGGTGGTATCTTAGAGAGAGAAAGAGGTGTAGAGGTGTAGAGAGAAGGAGGAGAGAATTGAGTTTCAGAAATGAAGGAAAGAGGGGTGCGTGAAGGGGAGTGGAGAATAAGTTCAGAATCTCAGATCTGCTTTCCACCCCGCCAGCGCTCGTCCGCACTCCGCCAGCACACGTCCGCACTAGCCAGCGCACTCCACTACGCCTCTGACAGCCCATGACGGACGGTCGACCACTGTACAGTTGCCACGCGTCTTCCACCATCGCCGATCGCACGTTCATACGCTGGCAGCACGTTCTCCACTAAGCCACGCTGGACGGACGTCCACTCAGAGTCGGACACGTGTTCTGCACTACGCCGAATGCACGTTCCCACTATGCTCTGACTCAATTCGGCGTGCGACAGCTGGCGTCCGTCAGTGGATGGCCAGGCGGCTGCTGTCGTCCATGTGCGGGGCTGAGGTGGCTCGTCCTCCTGCTGGCACGTGGACTCCACTATGCACGTTTTTTTTTTTTTTTTTTTAGAGTCCTCACATTCCCCCTAACTACAAAAATTTTCGTCCTCGAAAATTAGGACGAAGTCTCGAATAGATGGGGATACAAATCCTTCATGGCATCTTCCACTTCCCAAGTAGAGTCGCCCGTCTTATCGTCCCAGACGACTTTCACCAATCTGACTGCTTTCCTCTTGTAGTATTTGGTGTTGCTATCTTCAATGCGTACCGGCTGCATCTCCAGTGTACGGTCTTGACGAAGACGAATATCTTCTAACTCCAATATGTGAGAAGGGTCGGATACGTACTTCCGAAGTTGAGAAACGTGGAAGACTGGATGCAAGTTTGATAACTGAGGCGACAAAGACAACTCGTACGCAACTGGCCCGATCTTCCTCAAGATTTGATAAGGTCCGATGAACTTGGAGACAACTTCTTGGGTCGAATGGCTCTCCCAACTCCCGTGGTCGGATGCAGTCTAAGGAAAACATGATCTCCTGCATCGAACTCTAAGGGTCTTCTCCTCTTGTCAGCGTAAGATTTCTGTCGACTCTTGGACGTCCACTCAGAGCCGGACACGTGTTCTGCACTACGCCGAACGCACGTTCCCACTATGCTCTGACTCAATTCGGCGTGCGACAGCTGGCGTCCGTCAGTGGATGCCAGGCGCTGCTGTCGTCCATTGTGCGGGGCTGAGGTGGCTCGTCCTCCTGCTGCCACGTGGACTCCACTGTGCACGTTTTTTTTTTTTTTTAGAGTCCTCACACCTGTTATAAGTCTTTCTTTATATTTTCATCTTTTTTATTTTAAGGGTTTTATGTGAATTAATTTTAAACTTATCACTTTAATATATTAAGACAAAATGATGTTTCTAATTATTTGCAGAAATTGAAGATGGTCCCATATATGCTCAACTTTTTGTGCCCGTAAATGTTCTGCTCCCAAATAGTGAGGTAATTCCTTGCTTGGAACTCATGTCCTGGCTGAGAATATTAAAAGAAATCTAATCAAAGCATTTGGTGATAAATTTTCTCATTTACATCCGTAATAATAATCTCCTTTACATCTTACTCAAAAACTAGATTGCATGGAATAATTCCACATATCTTAAAAGTTACCTTTTAACCAATTGACAATTGTCTGTCCTCCCAATCTTAAAATCCACCTTTTTCATTATAAATATAGAAGTCCAAAGGAAAAATACATGTTGAATTCAAATAGTAAAAAAGACAATCTGTATAGCTTGAAACTAATCCGATCAAATTGTGTCCCCACCACATCTGATAACCCCTAAACTTTACAGTATCATTTAATATCATTGTAATTTGCTTTTCTAAAGTCCTAGTAATCCAAGTAGTCATGACATCTCATCGTTAATGAAGAGACCCATAAATGAGCACTACCCATTCTAAACTAGAACTATTTCAAATTTATGATTCCCATATAATGTATAACTATTAAACCCATAAAATATATCACATACAAGATAAGGATATATTTATCCTATGCAAGCAAGGATTTGAAATTATTTTCTCCCTACGTACATATCATAAAAGGCTTAGAATATCCTAAATACTTTATTAGAATTATAAATTTTACTTTTTTTTAGATAAAAAAAAAAATCCACCATGAATAATAAGAATAAAAGGAACCACTAGAGTTGCTTAAATTTAAAAGTGAGTCAGGATTATTATTATGTTCTATTCGTAACTTTTCAAAGTTGAGTATTTTATATTGGTGTTTTTTATGAATCATATGGTTGACCAATAAAAGTGGAGATAAAGTGGGTAACTCTTAAACTCCTCTTTTATTTTTTATTAAATTAAAAATAAAAAATCAAATTAGTAATCTTTTTAATTTTTTTTACTACAGGCAAAAATGTCAACCAGCAAATAGTGACAAAGTGGGCTTCTGCCAGCTAAATATGTCCAAGCCAACAACATCCCAAGTAGTTGAACTATAAAGGCCATGATTTTAGTTTATAATCATTAATTTGTCATGGAATTTGAGACCGTTTATAACTCATTATTCCAATCAATGATATTGGATTGGTTTTTTTTAGGCTTGTTAGTTATCTGTAAGTTCATAATGAATTGTCACATTATATTATGATGGATGCAATCTTACCTTAAATTATTTTTGTGGATGAAAACATGTTGGTTGGTGTGGGGACACTATGATAAGGGTGGAGAATGACAACATAACAACCACTGGAGCAGAAATGAAAAAACAATGCCTTTTCTGAAGAATACCAAGGTTCTTTCCTTCATGACAAGCAAACAAATGTAGAAGATGAGCTGACAAGATATTCATAGTACATGTCTCTAGAAGCAAAAGAGAAGCAGTGAATACTTTGTAGTCTTAGTTGATCTAATATAAACCTACTACTGTCCAGTATGGTATTATCATTGTAATGATTTTGACATAGTACCAACTTAGATTGATAAGTTTGTTTATTATGAGTATATATTAAAATTGTGGCTGTTGAAATAGTAACACATTATAATAGATTCATTAATTTCTGTTTTGAGTTTCTTAAGAAAAGAGTTGGTATTTGTTATTTGAATTCTTTTATAAATATAATCAATTCTTACTATTTAAAATTTGGATAGTTTTTACTTTTATTTGCTATATAACCTTTTTAATTTATTTAATTATTTATGTGTAGATGTGGAATCACCCATTTTTTTTTTTATAAAATCACACGTTATGTACGGATTTTTCCGTATATAATTATATACGGATTTTTTCGTATATAATTACATACGAATTTTATATACAGATTTTTTCGTATATAAATTATATATGGATATATCTGTATATAACTTAGCTATGCCTTTTTTATATACGGATTTTTGACCGTATGTAATCTGTATGTAACATCATATTATATACGGATTTTTGACATTATATACGGATTTTGGCCGTATGTAATTGTAATTTTTCTTGTAGTGATGGTTAAGTTATGATGTTGAGTTTAGAGAAAGAATCGTGAGATCAATTACTAATTGTCTTGGAGTGAATTTGCAGTTTTGATTGGTGAGTTTTTTAGTACAAGGTTGGTTTGGGTAAAAACCAAATTTTAGGGCTATTTTGAAGTAGAGAGTTGGTACGCTGTGTTTGCATGCTTTAGGTACTAATACGGGAGTTTTTGAGTAGTGAAATCTCTAAAGGAGTAGGTATGTGTTGAATTGGATGATGTAGGGACTGTTGTTAAGTCTATTAAGACTTGCTCAAACTATTAATACTTGTTCAAGCTGTTAGTTGTAGAAAATTTGTGTTGAAAGGTATAAAATTGAGTTTGAGTGGTTTAAAGTAGTTAAGTTAGCTTGAGATATAAAAATTGAGTTAGGAAAGTGTAGGAAAGTGTTTTTCAGTGTTGCTCAGCGCATAGGAGGCCTTAAGGAACATTAGAATGTGTGACGAAAGTATCCAATTTGAGATTTGAAGTGTATCTATGAGAGGTTAGTAACTACTCTGAAAAATTCCACTACTCATGGAAAAATCCACAACTTGCTAATGCTCTTATCTCTTTTCAATTTCACACTTCCTAAAGTAAATCCACAAGTTGTTGAAAAAGCGACAACTCAGTTGTTAAATTTGCTGGTTTTCAATTTGTTTCTCTCGAGACAAATCCACAGGTTGTAGAAACGTTCACACCTATGTTGTGGACCTCTCTGGTTTCAAAGTTTGAATCACCTTGTTTACTTCCATGCTTATGTTTATGGTACTTTGATGTATGATCAGTGGTGTTATATCTTGGTATTCAATGTTAAAGTGTATGGACATATGTATGATTTCAAATGGTTTTCAAGGTTGGTAAAGAGAGTTCCAAGGAGGAACTTCTCAATGGTGGTTTCAAGTATTGTAAGTATGAATATGGGAAGTTCAGTCTTGGAGTTCAACCTAACATTCTAATGGTCACTCATTCTCAAGTAGAGAGGGGTTGCGCATGTAGTGAGAATAGTAGGAGGTCCTAGTTTAGGGGCTTTACCTTGGCCTAACGCGAGTGATAACAGACTAACCTTGTGTAGTGGCTTGCGGTGGGCCAACTGTTTCACCACAACAAGTACACGAACTGTCATAGCACGATATTCATACTAATCCAGATAGTCAAGTCAAACGGTTGGCATGCATAAAGTGTTTGGTTGATTTGGTGTGAGATATGTATCATTAAGTAAAATGTTTAATATGTTTTTGATGTATTACGAAAATGTTTTGCATCATTAGCTTACCCTTACTTTTGTATTGTTTGTTTTTGTGTATGTTTTTTTCTTTTGCAATGATCACCTTAATGGTATAAGCTTAGGAGACAATATATTTTCAGTTATTCTAGCGAGAGGGGAGGGTGAAACAAATGAGTTGGTAAATGGATCTATAGAGGTAGATCTATTGTTTTCTTATAAGTTCATTTTAATCTAAGTGGTTTTGTAACGTAATATTTTAGTAATTTTATACCATGAAAATGAGATATTACAACTATTATGCTAAGAGTTTATAATTGGCTTAATTTTTGAGCTCAACGAACTAGTGTACAATATATATTATACCAACTAGATGTGCTGCTTTTGAAGAAAAATAAGTTCTAAGTAAAAAATAATAAAGTAAATGTTCTATACACTAAAAAAAATAGAAGAGACAATTTTGAAGTTTTCTTTAGTTAACAATTATTTCTTTCTACTCCAAATTTATGTGTTAAAATTATAAAAAAAAAACAAATATTAGAATAGAAAAAAACAATTCAAAATATTCAAACTTTGAAGATTTTGTTATCAATAGAATCAATTTATAATAAACATTAATCTTTTTTAACTGTTGTATAAAATTGAATTAAACTTAAATTATACTATTTTATTATTATATCAAAATAATTTATAAAATGATATTTTTTTATACTTTTGAAAAAGAAAAAAAAATTGTAAAAGGACATGTTTTTTATTTGTTTTTTAAACATAAGTTATTAGTTTTTAAAATAAATATAAGAAATAAATAAATATACTACTATATTAACATAAATTTAATGAGATAATATTTTATTTGTTTTGATAAATATAAGATAGTATTTAATATGAAAAATATATAAAAAAACATGAAGATGTTTTCTTTTATTGATTAATGCGTCACAATGCAAACTCCATCTTCACTCACTAGTAAAAAAAGAGGATTTAAAATCGCACAATATGCTTCGATTTAGGAGCAACCGAAGCATATCAGAACGCGGTGGCAATTTTGTAATTTAGTCGAACTTTTCTGACTCGGTTCAAGGAGAACCGAGACATATACATCATATGATCTCGGTTAAATATTCAATCGATGCATAATATTCTGCAAAATTTCTGCTGATTTAACTTTTGTCCTGACAACTTTTTTAATCTTGATCTACTGCCTCGGTTTATTGGGGACCGAGACATATACACATCATATGACCTCGGTTAATAATCTAACCGAGGCCTAACACCCTTTCGATTCCATAACACTGGACTTCTCATTTCTTCACGGACCAGCCCATGGGTCACGTCCACCAGGGAGAATACCTCTCGCGCATCCAACCCTAAAAATACTTTTCTCTCTTTCTCCTCATCCCGCACAAGCCAAGGAGAATTCCTCTCCTTCTTCCATTTCTCTTCACCGTAGACGACCACGGAGCAAGGATGATCTGCAACGACGGTGTGGAGATGGAGCGACAAGCGACGTTTGTGGTGGCTCACAGGCGGCGTTCGTGGTGGCTAACAGCGGCGCTCGTGGTGGCTCGTGGCGGTGCTATTGGCATACTTCTTCTTCCCTCTTCCCTTTTTGGTTCTATTCTGGTTGCAGGGAAGAGGACGCGAAATCGACAGAGTAGGCGTCTCAGTGGCGGAGGCGACGAGAGCACGGTGAAAGTGTGGCGAAGGAGCGGCGGGACACGGCGATTGAGAAAGTTAGGGTTTTTAATGTGGGGAATTTTTTTTTGGGGATCCGGTGAGGGTTGTTGATGGTTGCGCCAGTGGAGTAGGCTGTGTGGGCTGTGTGGGTTCGATTGGCAGAGGCGCATGGTGGTTGTGAAGCGTTGAAGAAGAAGATCCTGGATTGGCAGAGGCGCATGGTGATTCTTACAAAATCTCTGTTATTTTTTTTCTGTGTTATTTTTTAACTTTTTTTTTCCTGAACTCTATGGCCAAAGGAGATCCTGGTCTGCTGTTGTCAACAGAGGAGAGCCCAAAAATTCAGCTTGGGAATTGTTTGAATCCTATGCAAAGGGGGAATCCACTGTTATCGATGTTGACAAATTGCCATGGACAACATTGGACACTTCAGCATTCAAATTGTAGCCACTGGTACCACCAACATTTTGCACCTGCTGCTGGTTTTTGCTTTCTGGTGGTTTTTGCTTTCTGGAGAACACACATACATGTTGTTGCCAAAGACATCCTTGTCCAAACAAATCCTTCCATCACGCAGTTGTTTTTGCTTTCTGGAGAACACACATACATGTTTTTGCTTTCTAGAGAACACACGTACATATTGTTGATGGATGACAAGGCTGGACTGTGAAAGGGATTGAATCACGCTGGACCATCCAAATGAAAAAAGAAAACGCTATTACCTCGGTTCTGGGATAACCGAGGTATAATCCTAAACGCTATTGCCTCGGTTCTTAGATAACCGAGGCATAATCCTATCTCGTTTTAACCCGGTTCAGAACCGAGGCATAAAGCCAATCTCTTTTTACCTCGTCTGTATATGCCTCGGTTTTAGAACCGATGCCTATAAGCAAATTTAACTGATGCCATTTCCCCCTACTGTACTAGTGACTATTCCACACTTTCTAAAATTATATATATATATATATATATATATATATATATATATATATATGAATTACATAAAAGGAATGTATAAATCTGTTTCTTTTTTGTCTATCTTGTGTTTTCATTTGTATTATTGAAATATAAAAATAATTAAATTATTGATAAAGATAGGGTAATTAAAGTTATGAACAAATTCATTTAAGAAACCAAAATATTATTTTAACATAATATATTTATGATTCATTTTACTCATATATGGTTCATCTTCTTTATTTTTATCTAACGTAAAATCTTTAATTTGTCTTGAATTTTTAAATAGTTTTTCTCTTAAACTATTTGCAACCTTTAAACAACATTCAAATAGTTTAAATTATTGAAAAAAAAACTATATATGCCATGTATATAACATGCCAAATAATAATATAAATCATTAATTGAAACAACACATAATTAATCAAGCAAAAGAATATAATTCAGAAAATCCAGAATACTATTACAATTATTTTAAACATCTGAAACGAATTTAGGATTTATCTACAATGTTAAGAAACTATGAATAAAACATAAATTGAGTTTTTCAAAACAGTTCTAAACAGAAGAACTGAAATCTTAAACTACACAGTTGCAGTTGCAAAACATGGTCTCCCTCCATAGGTAGTTGATTCCTAATTCCATCATCTGCTCACACCTATAAAGGTTGATGATTGAAAAAGAAGAAACAACACAAAAAAACATAAGCAAAAATATGGATAAACTAATGCACAAAAGAATTTATCATATAATCATTAAACAAGTAAGATTGATAAGCCAAGTCAATAACACAATCTTAGAACACCAATCACATCAAAAGACATTATTCTAGAACTCAATTATTCGAATAAAACACATTCATGTTGGACTACAAGGAAGTTTAACACTTGTGATGTATAACATTAACCCACAAGATAAATTCTATACAAGTCACTAAAACTTCAAAAAAACTTTTCACCAGAACCTCTTTGAACCCCTAGTTCATTCTCATACTATATGAGTTTAAATAACTGTAGTAGTGTTATGATAACTTTCTCTCTTAGTCCCTACTTTAATAATGCACTTCCTAGAAACATACTTCATAAATATTTTCCCTTGAAAATCCTATCATACTTATAGTTCATATCTCAACATATTCCAACCATACATATTATCATCCATACACTTATATATACGGCCAATACTTCTCATATGACTCAAATCCACTACAAACAATTTATCATGGAATGATTGAATCACTCTTTTAGTCTTGCTCAGCAAGATCATCCACTCGGTTAGCGACTGGAAAACTTGTCCAACGATAGTAGCACTAGGATAATTCTCTTAATAAATCTCTCGACAAGCTTAGTACGCGCTAATGAGAGCACCATTGGAGCTCCTAGAAATTTATATGCCAAAATTCACCTAATGAAGTCCAAAAGCGTTCAATGATAAGTCAGTAAACTCTCTAACTTTAGAGTTGCTCAGTGAAAAATTATTGTCCTAGCGACCACAAAGTCAGTAGGCTCTCTAACTTTGGTGTCACCCACAGAACAACCGTTAACCCAATGAATTTGTATAATTGCAAAAAATGAAATTTTGCAATTATGCAGATTTAGACCTATCAAGTTCCAATCTAATACTTCAATCATAGTACAAACATACAATTTGATGTCTTTCAGAAGCCGTTCAAGCCTCACATTCATTATACTATTCACAAATTCCTAAAATTGATCATATAACCAAATATGTAACTTAAGATTTGTATTCTCTAGTTCAACTGCACATGTTCATTAAAATTAACAATTTCTCATGCAATCACATATGCAATTACACATTCAGTCAATTTGAACTAGTTTAGAATTTATAATAGTTGTAATTAGCTTACTTACGCTTGTAACAATTAAACAGTTCAAATTGATCATGGTATGCCATTGAACAATTGATCAATAGAGAAATGACTCTAAAAATACATGTAGACTAGATAGACCCATATGCAAAGAAGAACCGATTGAACTTAGAAAAGAGCAAAAAACTAACTTACTCTAAATTGATAAATTCATCGCTTAATCTTGAAGAGGTCGCCACAAAGAGTAATCCTATGTCTTCGATTCTTCAAAAAGATAACCCAAGATGAGAAAACTTAGAGAGAAAATAAAGAACTCTAAAAATGTGATTTCTAAATATATGACGTGTTTTAAATAATAAAACTTGTTTATTTATACTTAAGCCTTTTATATTAAAATAATTAAGTCTCACTATTTTAAATATACGCAATTATAAAACATCATTTTATAGATTCTTATATATTATATATATATATATATATATATTATATATAATATAATAAAGTAAACTCTTTCTATTATACAAGAATACACTAAAAATCATAAAAACTCACAAATTAAATATGTTTTTTATCATTTGATATGAATGTTGAAATATAACATAACTTATTTTAAAAGCATGATCTTAAACATGATAAGAGTGGACATTACCTCAAGAGATTAATGTTCATTCTTTTATCCATTGTTGTCTTGTTGTAGAAGTTGTTCCTCTTTTTTTATTTGAGTCACTTAATTAATTCTTAATCAACACATGCAAATAAATACAGTAATGTATGAGAAAATTTTGGAACAAGACCTCCGAGAAGCTAATTTTAAAAAGAAAGGAAAATTTTAGGAATACAAAACAAATAAACTAAGCAAAGAATTTGATATGTAATGTAACGAGAGAAAATCAACCTAAAATATGAAATAAATGTTTTTTAAGAAACATCTTTTCCAAAATAAAGAATATATATATAATATATAAATATATATATATATATATATAATATATATATATAGTATATATAAACATGTTGTATATTATTCTATTATAATATTTAATTTTTATGAATTTAAAATTGCATACCTGGATTGTTGTAAATAAATGATATAGTCTCGTTTAGATTTTCAAACCAAAGCTTCTTAATAAATGTTATATCTATGATCTCAACAATGGTGTGTTGATGTTGCCTCTTGAAAATATTTTCATACTTGGAACATTGCTAACCCTTAAAGTTTGAAACTAGGCCAATCAAGAGTTCCATGATAATGACTGAAATTCACCAACTTTGGAGATTCTTCAATACTAACATTTCATTTGGGGAAAATTGGTAGATCATTTTCATCTTCATCACTCGAGATCACTTGCTTTAGTTCTTTACAACTAACGCCTCAGTAATTTGAGTTTCTTAAGATATTTGGAGGAAGAAAGTGAAAATAAACTTTCAATGCTATCACAATGGACAATGAAAAGTGACACCAAATTTGAGAAGAATGGAACATTAGGTTTTTGTTCCATATAAATTTCAAATTATTTAGGTTACTCAATGACTATTTTCCTCAGTTGAGGAAACATTTCTTGCATAGATGATCATCTTCAAGAATGAATATTGTAATCAATGATTCACATTTGTCTAAAGTCAAATCTTTCATGTTGTTGAATCTTATGATCAGTCTAGAAGAGATGACACTTAACATTTATTATTGTTGCTTAAAGTCAAATTTTCTATCTGACAAAATGATTCAGAAGACAAACTATAGTGCCAAAGATCTTTAATATGTTGATCTATATATAAAGCACCTTCAACTTTTCCAATGACAACTGTAAAAAATAAATAACAGTTTTAAATTTCAAAAATAGGAAAACAAAAATCAAAGTAAAACAAAACTAAAAACCATGACTACCTACAAGTTAATACATTTTGTACTTCATTCCATTTCAATACAAAAAGTAAATAATTATAGGATAAATAATGAGTTTAGTATAAAAAAATATTATCACATCTCATTTTTAGTAAAAAATAAATAAAAATCTTTTTTTAAAAAAATTATTTTGTTAGTTTTGTTTATCCAAAAAATTAATAATTTAGTAAATATATAAAAATAATTAACCTTAATACAATTAATCTTGCTATTATCTCAACTCTACGCAAATGTATTTTAAATTCACAGTTTTATTACATATATGTCAATGTTAATGTTTCCTGATAAAAAACATGACAATTAATAAATATCAAATATATGCGCCCTCATCTATTAATATCAAAGACCATACAAAACTAACAAAATTAAAAATTCTATTATTTTTTTTGTTGTACTAAAAATAAAATATAACAATATTTATTTATAAGCTAACTATTTATCCTGATTATATATAATAATAATAATAATAAACATGAGTAGAAATATAAAAACTAGAAAAATTTTAATTTGCATGCACAGCATGATAATGAATATTATACATATGTAATTTAAAATTGAAACGTACCGAATTTGGAAAGAAACATGTTGAAACAGCTTGTTCTTTATGCTCTTTCAAATCATTGTGTTCTTCAACAAATGTCATTAGAGAAGGACAATTTGTTATTTTCAGTATTTCCAAGGATGGAAATTCTGACCCAAAAGGAAATGCAGTATATAAATTTCTTAGATTTTGAAGAATAACTTCCTTTAATTGAGAAAAAATGACTTTTTCTTTTTCTTCCTTTTCTTTTCTGATGACCACGGTCTTATGCAAGGAATCACAATCCAAAATTTTCATATTTGTTAAAGTTACAGGAATTGGCAACCAATGAAGAAACCCACATCTTTCTATTTGTAGGGTACGTAGATTTTGATATAACCTAACACATTCTTTGTCGATGATGTGAGTTAAATTAGGAAGATTAATCAAAATCAATTCATCTAATTCGTGGAGGAGCTTTATAGAGTTAGGTATTTCCTTCACCAGTATTACCATTTTCAATTGATAGCAATTACTCACAAAGACTTTCTTCAATTTCATCTTCTTGGGCGGTGTCTTAAAGAAGGCTACGTAGAGCAACGGTTGACAACCATCTAATCTCAATTCATCCAACTCAGATAAAGTGTTATTCGTTGGACCTAAGAAATCTACTAAAATTGCTTGGTTGATTGTGAACTCTTTTAAACAAGGACATTCTTCTATTATCAAAGTTTTCAAGCTTGAAAAATCTCTCCTAATTTTGGAAAACCTCCTGAATTTTGAGAGAGACTTTAGCTCCACTTTACTTAATCTTGGGAAGGACAAAGAATTTTTCATGAAGTCATCTACTGCTTGCTCTGAACAGTAGAAAGGTAGGAAGTAGTAGTCATCTACTACTTGCTCTAAATCCTCACATGCCTCTAACTTTAATTCCTTTAGTTCGGAAAGCCCTGTGGAAAAGGATGATGGATAGAATAGAACCTTTATAGAGGGACAACTTTTGAGGTGTACAATTTGCAGACTTTTCAAGTCAAAATATTCTGCAATATTCCGATTGCATAATGACACCATCTCATATACTTGGATTACCTTTAATTCCTTTATTCCTCTCAAATACTGATTATTAAACTCTTCATCCGTAAAATTAGAAACCAAATCGTCAAATAGATATCCTGATGTTGTACAACACTGAATTTCAATAACTTGAAGCTCTTTTGACCTCTTCATCAAAATAGATATAAATTCAGTCAACTTTTCATCACAGTTTTTTGCTGGAAACACTTCAATGTTAGTGAAATGTGAAGGTCGAAGGTTATGCATTCTTTTGTGTAATTCCTCAGTGTCACCAATCTCATATTCAACAATCGTTGAAAACTTATCATTCTGTAAAACATCATTTCTTCTCGTGTTACTATTTTGCATTTAAAATAATTTTACAAAAGAGTAATTAAACTTAAATCTTTCATCTATCATGAGAACTTGCAGAAATAACTAACCGATGATTCTAAAATATCTGCCAGAGACGCTTGGTTTTCCAAGATTACTGATTTTGTTCTTCCCAAACCATACTTTATTATGTTGGGACAATGGTTCACAGTCACTTTCTTTAATGATGGCCATTCAATTATATCTCCAGAAGAATATTTCCTTAAACTCGGTAAGCTTTCAAAGTGTAAATGGTTTGCTTCTGGATTTTCTATTACAATCGTCGCTTCTTTAGCTTGTTGAAGTTCTCCATATAACTTCTGTACCATCCAAGTATATGTAAACAAATAAGCAATAAAAACATGTAAATATATAATAACTATTTCCTAATGCATTGATAATAAGTACATTTTATTACAAATTGTTGAGAACTTCTTCTTTTCCTAATGCATTTTTATAAGAAATTTTTAATTGGATTATTTTTTTTAAAATTCATTATTATTTGATTGAAAATTAAATCTATATATATAGAGAGAGACTGCAAGTTCTCACCGTTATGTTTTCTGCTGCCGGCAAATTGAATCCAAATGATAGCAATCTTAGTGAAACATATCCCATCCAGACAACCTGAAATACCACTTTTAGAAGCGTGTTTTTGGTTTGTGTATTAACTTGTTTATATTATTTTATTTTAATTTTTTAATTTTAAAAATAAAAGTGGTAGTTCGTTATATCCTATCTTTAATAATATTACAAAAAATTATCTATAATTATATATACACCTTTTTGGTATTTTTTTTTCCAATTTTATCCTCTAAATTATTACCTTTTAAATTTAAATAATAAATATTTTAGTAACTATATTTTTCAGTTTTATTATTTTAATAACTATATTTTTGAATTCAAATAATTGCTCATTATAAAATAATTATATACTTTTTTATTATTTTAGTAACTATTTTTTAAAATTTAAATAACTATTCATAATAAACAAATTATTTACACAATATTACTTATAGTATTTTTTTTTAAAATTTTATCCGTTTAAAATTTAAATAATTTTATTTATATCTACCTTTAAAATTTAAATAATTTATAGATATTTAAAAAAAATTGTATATACAGTGTCACAATTGGTAATAACATAAGGGCAATTCAGGAAAAAAAATCTAGAGAAGAATAATTTTGTTAGGAAGAATGGGCAGATGTCAAGTAATCTAATAGATGTCAAGGATGAGGAGATCCAATGTACATATGAAAGATTATGTGTGAGGTGAGGTGGTTATAACGAGTCTGGAAAGGAAAAGGAAAAGGTGGGGGTAGGGGTTGTTACATTCTGTTTTGTCTTCTCTATTTTATCTCTCACCTCATTTCTGGATGAGAAAAGAGGAGCATATTAATACTTGAACTTTTTTTGTGAAAGGATATTCTACTCTTTAACCATTTTCATTACTTTTATTTCAGCTATGTGACCTTTAACATTACATTGGTGCTTTCATTGAGATTACATTACAAACTTATCATGATGTTTTTGCAGTTCCTACTGTTCTTCTACCGAGTAGATCCAATGATCATTGTATTCCTTTGATTATAGGGGTTGATCCTATTAAGGTTAGACCCTATAGATACCCTTATAGTCAAAAGGAACAAATTATGAAGATGGTCAAGGAGATGTTACGAGAAGGCATTATAGTGTCCAGTAATAGCCCTTTCTCTTCACTCATTACGTACTTGGAGATTTTGTGCAGACTACCGCGCCTTAAATGTCATAACCATCAAAGACTGTTTTCTCATTCCTACTATTGATGAGTTAATTGATGAGTTATTTGGGACTCAAAACTTTTCCAAGCTTGGTCTCTGATCTGGCTCTGATCAAATCTTTCTTAAGAAAGAAGATCAATATAAGCCAGCATTCAAAACACATCATGGACACTATGAATGACTTGTAATGCCCTTTGGGTTGATGAATGCTCCAGCTACATTCTAGTGCTTGATGAATGAAATCTTTCAGGAGATGTTGCGAAAATATGTGTTGGTTTTTTTTACGACATACTAGTCTATAGTCCAACGTGGTCTTCTCATTTATACCAATTAGAAGTTATCTTGCAATTACTAAGGAAGCACAAATTGTTTGCCAAGTTCTCTAAGTGTTAAATTGCTCGTACTCAAGTGGAATACTTAGGACACATTGTTTCAAGTCAAGGTATAGTTGTAGATGCTTCCAAGGTACAAGATGTGTTAGTCTGGCCTTTTCCTACTAACCTTAAGCACTTAGGGGGATTTTTGCGTCTTACGAGTTATTATAGGAAGGTTATCAAGAGTTATGCATCTATTGCTACTCCTTTAACAAGTTTCCTCAAGAAAGAAATCTTTAATTGGGATGTTGTTGTTAATACAACTTTTGAAACACTCAAATCCACTTTAACTCAAGCTTCAATACTCGCTCTTCTAGATTTTGCTACTACTTTTGTGTTAGAAACAGATGCATCAGGGATTGATATAGGAGTTGTGCTTAGTCAGAACAATCATCCAATTGTTTTCTTTTCGAAGAAATTAAACCCCAGACTTCAGAAACAGTCAGCTTATACACGAGAATTATATGCCTTCACTCAAGCAATAGCAAAATTTAGACATTACCTTTTGGGACACAAGTTCGTAATTAGGATAGATCAGAAGAGTCTCAAGAGCCTGAACCAGAAATTATTACAAACGCCTGAACAACAGTCTTGGTTGCATAAATTGTTAGGCTATGACTTTACTATCGAATACAAATTAGGGAAGGATAATTTGGCAGTAGATGCTTTGTCTATATCATTTTTCTTGGCATGGTCTCAACCAAACATGGCATTTTTACCTGTATTACGTGTCGCGATTGCAGCAGATACGGAATTACACAACACCGTGAACTATGTCGCAAGGGTACCCCACCCCACCCTAATTATTCCACACATGATGAGTTGTTATACTGGAATGGAAGATTGTTATCCCTAGGAATCATGACTTGATTCAACACATATTACATGAATTCCACTCTTCTCCACTCGGCGGACATTTGGGTGTTACATGAATCGTATCTCGGATTGCTGCACAATTTCACTAGCAAGGTATACATAAAGACATAACTAATTTTGTTAAATAATGTCTCATTTGTCAACAAGCTAAGTCTTCCAATGCACTATCTTTCGGGTTTTTGCATCCTCTTCCCTTTCCAGTAGAGATATAGGATGATATCGCAATGAATTTTATTACGGGATTACCCAATGCTCGTGGGTTTATAGTGATCATGGTAATGGTATAGAATTTCTAAGTATGCCCATTTTGCTCCTCTAAAAGCTGATTGCAATAGTGTGCAAGTGGTTCAATTGTTCATGCAGATATTGGTGAAATTGCATGGATTTCCTAAGTCTATTGTATCGGATAGAGACAAAGTTTTTATGAGTCACTTTTGGAAACAACTCTTCCAATTGAGTGGCACTTCATTGGCCATGAGCATTGCATATTATCCCCAGTCTGATGGTCAATCTGAAGCTGTCAATCGTTGTTTGGAAATGTACTTATGTTGTTTTGCTTATGACAATCTAAAGATATGGCTGAAATTGTTACCTTAGGCAGAATTTTGGTATAATACTTCGTACCACCTCAGTACGGGTATGACACCATTCAAGGTAGTCTATGGACGGTATTCTCCTAGGATTGATAAGTATGTTACAGATTCCACATGTCCTCCTACTTTACAGGAACTGTTGCAACAGCGTGATGTTGTCCTGCATCAACTAAAAGGTCATTTGCATAAGGCCCAACAGTATATGAAGCAGCAGGAAGATAAGAGGAGGCATCATATGGAATTCAAAGTGGGAGATATGGTGTTGGTTAAGCTCCAACCTTATAGACAGGCTTTGGTTGCTTTGAGAAAAAACCAAAAATTGAGCATGACAAACTTTGGTCCTTTTTCCTATTATCCAATGTATTGGTCCAGTGGCTTATAAATTGTTGTTACCTTTAACTGCTCGCATTGATCCCGTTTTTCATGTATCGTAGTTAAAACCATGCCACGGTGTTCATCAGATATTTTATATTTCACTTCCTCTAGTTACTAATGACCAAGGTCTTATATTACAGCCACATGGAATTTTACAATCTAGAGTTATTCGCCAACATATTCTTCATGCTACTTGGGAGGATATTTCTTATGTGAAAAACGCTTATGCTAACTTCAACCTTGAGGGAAAGGTTGATTTTAATGGAGAAGGTATTGCCACAAGTGGTAATAACATAAGGGCAATTCAGGAAAATAGAGGAGAATAATTTTGTTAGGAAGAATGGACAAATGTCAAGTAATCCTACAATTGTGAGTAACCAAAAAGTGTAGGGATTAGAAGGCCCAATGTATGTATGAAAGATT